TGTTAATGGGCCTAAGCCTGTTTAATGTTTTAAGTTAACTGGGTGTCCCATCACTAATCAGGGGCATTCCAGTAATTTCTTGTATCTTGTACTACATTCAAATAATAGCATGGTCGACTGGCTAGTACAGTTCGGCATTCCAGCATCTCTTCTTCTTCTCCTCTTTTCTACTACTTCGGCTACAGTAGTTCAGCTTTCACAAATACCTTTTATTGGCCCAAGTGAAGGGGAAGAATTCTGCGGAGATGTATGAGGGCACCAATGTTGAGAACTATTTGGGAAGAACAAAATGCAAGACTCTTTCTTGAAAAGGAAAGGAATTTAGAAGCTGTTAAAGAATGCATTTTGGCTAGGGTGATACATTGGGTGAAAACTTTGGACACTTTTTCTCAGTTTTCTTGTGATGACCTATGGAGAAATTGGAGTGAGGTGGCTGCTAGTTCACCTAGAAGGATAATGACTTTTGTTTCTCGGACTCCTCCTGTAGATGATTCCATCAAGCTTAACTTTGATGGAAGCAGCTGTCGAAATCCAGGCCTCTCTGAGATTGGAGGGGTCTTTAGAAACAAAGATGGACAAGTTATTGCTTTATTCTGAGGTCCAGTGGGTGTGAAAGACTCAATTAGGGCTGAGATTTTGACAGCCATACAAGGCCTACAGTTAGCAAGAGAGTTGAATTTTATCAGGCTAATTGTGGAAAGAAACTCCAAAATAGTAGTAGGATGGCTACACAATCCGGAGACTGTTATTTGGGAATTTAGGGACGAGTTTAAGAAGATCAAATGGCTTATCAGCAATCTAACAGTGACGTTTCAATGGGAGAGGAGATCGACCAATGGAATGGCTGATTCTCTAGCCAAGCACAGGGTTAATAGGGATCACTTATTCTGTGAACAAATGCAATGTATACCTTTCTTTTATTTGTATTTTCTCTCTTTTTGGATGAGGTGAAGCTGTCACCTGTCCCTGGCTGATATTAATAAAATTACTTATCAAAAAAAAAAAAACTTGAACCTTGAGAAGTCCTATAATTCTCTGATACCATGCAGGTCTTTGAGCAAGATAAGAAGGAAGAACAACTAAGAAAGACAGATTAGAGAATGGGCGACGGCTTAGGTTTTTCCAGCCCTAATTGCTATTTAAGTGAGTGTTTAAAACAGGAGAAAGTACAAGATTTCCCCTCATTAGGCAAGCAGTACATAAAAGATTTAAATGCATAATGGCCCAAAACCATTTAGCCTAATAAGATACATAAGTACAATACAGGTTACAGCCAAGTCCATATAACATTAAGTCTCACAACATACTGCAGAGAAGAAGGCCTAATAAATGCCTTCTCATGTGCTTCTTATGCAAAGCTAGTGGTGATACCCATTTACGAATTTTCTGTTCTGTTGTGCATGGTGCATGGGAGTACTTTTGTTATCTTTTTGGTTGCAGTGGGCTCCTCCTCAAGATGTGGTGAGTATCTTCAGTCTTGCTTCTTAAGGCAACCAAAAAAGAAATGGAGACTCAAATTTGGTTATCTCTTGCAAAACCATCTGGCTTCCAACAATTGGAAGTGGAAGGAGACTCAAATTTGGTTATCGCTTAGACAAAAAGCAGCTGTCATGTACCATGAACCTTCAAACATGCTTTAGGGAAGTCGAAGGTATTTCAAAGGAATTAAATGTAACTTTCAAGTGGGTGAGAAGAACAGAAAATGAAATGGTTGATACTTTAGCAAAACATGGGGTTAATAAACAACTGTTTTGGGCAACTGTGTGAATTTTTTGTACTTTTGGGTTGTTGGACATTCCAACTTGTTATACTAAACTCAATATTTAATAAAGCTTTTGTTTCTACTGTTGCTGCAGTAGTCCGAACCAGTAAGGAGAAGAAGAAAGAGAAGGAGAAGAAGAACAAGAAGAGAAGAAGAAGATGAAAGAACTGTCGAACCTGATAGCTAAACCCTATCAGTCGACCTCTTAATAGTGATTAGGCTTCTAATTAAATGTACAAGGACTAAACTGCCCCTACTTAAGT